CACAATGCCTATTGGTGGCCGATCGGCAGTGACAAGGCCAATTCAATCTTCTGAAAAGACAAGAACATGCCTGGAACTGGCAGAGAGTTAATTTCACAGACTTTCTTCACTCACCCCCGAGGAGGATTGGAGGGAGCACGTGTTCGTAACAGGAAGGTCTCACTTCTCCTATCTCCACTCCACCAGTTGACTGCAGTTGTGCTTCACTCATGCCCAAGGAGGATTCAAGAACCACACACCTTTGCAAACATATGTTTGTAACAACCTGGTCTAACCTTCGCCACCTTCATTACCGCCAGCATTCTGATAGCTTTTCAGTTCCTCATCAGGTTGGTAGAGGTCTGTTCCGTCTTCAAGAGCACCAGGGTCTCCATCGGTATTCCCCACTGCCGCCCAATCCACTACGATCATGATCTCAATAGCAAGAGAGCTCTTGGGACGTCAAGGAAGCAACAGCCCAGACCACCTAGAGCTGAGATAGGGATGACAGTATCGATGACAGGAATGCACCAGCACCCACAGCATCTTATGCAAGGATTACTAACGGGTTGACAAGGAAATTTGAAATATCTTTAATTTAACCAACACATGACTTCGGCCTCAACATGAGCTCTTACCTCTTTCTTGGCTCTTTTTGTATCCAAACAAAGATTGGGGGGGGGGGGGGGGGGGGGGGGGGGGGGGGGGGGGGGGGGGGGGGGGGGGGGTCAGGTGATGCGAGAACAAATAGCACAGGGTCAGAAAGAAAGCTAATGTGTTGACTGTCCACGTACCAGCATGGAATAGGGAGATAGTGACAATCAATAACAATACTGGGCTCATTCGAGTCCGGAAAGAGGGGGGGGAGAAAAAACAAAAAAAAAACATAACGTGTCCATGCAAAGATGTGGACAAGGCCAGGCCTTCTTGCCAGATTCAAAAGAGCTAGACCCGCTCTTCATAAGGATGACATAGGCACATGGCCTATCAAGCTGTAATAGGATAGGGACAGCGGGGAGAAGAAAGGGGTTGCACCAAAATAACTCCAAGCCTGGTCTGCACAATCTTGAAATTCAAATCACAGTGCTCAAGGCTTTACTTGTAACTTAGGAGACCACGTGATACATCCCAGTGGAAGTGCCAGGACTTCCATGTATTCACCCAGTGTGGATCCTATTCCATAAGAAGATGAAGATCAGACAGTTACAAATGACGCTGGAGTTGCATCTGATCATTCTGATGAATCCGATCCAATGGAGACTGACCTCTTCATCAAGCAATTTAAAGGCAATTTCCAGGTCTTCTCTGCGTAAATCAGCTTCTTGGAGCATTGTCAAGGCCACCTGACAAAGGACAATCAAACAGACATAGAGAAACGGGTCACTTTGTTACATCCCACTGTGGTTGTTTTCTGTCTCACCTGTGTTGCACGTCCAAGTCATGCTGGTGAAACGGTTTTCACCTTTTAGCAGTAGCAGATGCAGTACCCAGGGTTCGATCCCTAGACCTCACCCTACCCATGTACAGTATCGGTGTAGACCCCAAGAGTTGAACCTGTGACCTGTGTATTCGTAGACAGTTGGTAGGTCTGTCGTAGGTCCATAAGCAGCAGGGGTTCGATCTGTAGGTCTATAGAGTAGAAGTCTTAGCGAGTTCCAGAAGTCTAGTTGTAGTCCTTCTAGAAGGTCGGCAAGTGGGCAAGTGGTCAAGTGGCGAGGCAAGTGGTGGACTAAACTGCAGTGCAATCGCAGTACTACCTCGGTAGAATAGCAGCGAGTCCACAGTCAGTCAGCGGTAAGGTCCAGTCAGTCCCAGTCTGGTCCAGCAAGTACCACGGGGGACTGTGGGCACCATGGGCCGATGGCAAAGGGCAGACCAACGAGTTTCCGAAGTATAAATGAAGAGGCAGCACCCAGCCTTTCATTCATTCCTGCGTGAGCCATGCGGAAGCGCTGCCACAGCGACTTGTGCAAGGAGGTCTGCAGTGAGCCCGGAGGACGCAGTGGGCGAGGGAGGAGGAGCTTAGTATAGCGATAGGGTAGAGGCAGCCATAGCTGCCATAGCTGTAGTTAGTGTGAAGTGTGTGTGTGTATGTGCGAGCGTTCAGAGTTACGCGTGTGGGATATCCAGGGTGATCCGGTGTATGTGAACAGTGAGTTGTTTGGGCGCTCGGTCGCCATAGCCAATTAAAAGTGAACTCGTTCGTATCTGGATGCCATATCTCTGAGTTTTGAGTGGGCGCATGTCGCCAGTTTGCTGCGCTGCTGTTTACATGCATGAAAAGTGTGAATGAGAACGAGTTTGATTGCATTGGTATCGGAGCTGGTACCCGCTATTCCATGCGCGCCGTCGTGTGCAGGGCCTGAAGCGCCATAGCAGAGGTGGCCGCCGCGGGGTATAGTCCGCCATAGCGGACCTGAGGTTGGAGAAGCCGCCGCGCACCTGCAAGAAGACCATGACGAAGAAGAAGAGAGAGAGAGAGAGAGAGAGAGAGAGAGAGAGAGAGAGAGAGAGAGAGAGA